TCATTTTGTAAGTTTAAGTAATAAAAGAAATATGAAAGTAAATTAGAAAGTTTACTGAATATTTCCAACAATAATTCGAATGTTTACCAATTACATGTAGGCGAAATACGTATTAAAGAAAGTAAATATTTTTTTCCTAGTATAAGTACCATATTTATTTTGTTGAGCGTGACGTATGAATTGAGAAAGGCAAGATTTTCAACAGTCATGTTTCTTCTATTCAGTAATCATCCGATCGATCAACTTTGTGTGCTTTTACTGTGCTGACGTTAATATGTATTTTCAGCCCAAGACTTTTCGGAAATTCGATTTACAATTGCATTATAATAGCATTGTCATGTTTACACTAAAAGTTAGAATGCAAAAGGATCTACACATTCATAAAGTTGTATAATTTTCAAGTTATTTCAAAATACTCTTGGGGTAGAAAGTACATAGATAAGATAAAGTACTAGGATAAAGGTAAGAACGAAGGGACTAAGAAAAAGGAACACGAAATTGTGTCTCTTTGAAGTGTTTCTCCTCTTCTTTTTCAAAATTTGCTATGACATTATATACATTCGATTCAATTATATTCCAATATGTGACTTCGCAATTTATTTAGAATCGTTTATATGAACTCATCAGGAGACAAGCAGTTCATATAATAGGAGTCGACTGATTGTCTCATTGCATACTTGCAACTTTGCGTTCAAATAACTGGAGTGTACGTTTAGATAAGTGGATGTGCTGTAATAACTGCTTTCACTTTATGCGGTATACTTTCAATAGATATTTTACAGTTTTTTTAATTCACATTTCACATTCTCATTTCATACTTCATCAATCAATCGTTGCTTGTTTCCTTTGAAAGAACTCTCCGACCTCCGAATTTGAATATTTCATAGAAAATGCAGAAACTATTAACTATTAACATTATTGTTATCTTTTTTGTGAATATAAATAATTTTTCGATATTTGACTATAACTGTATAATTACGATGTAACATTTAATAAGACGATTTCTACTTCAACATCTCTAATATTGTCCGTGGATAACGTCGTTCATAGAGATAATGATGATCGACAGGTGAAATTCTGTAAAGCATGTAATAATGAACGTGAGGTGGTGGGATCGGCGACGGAAGGAGAATATCGAATCCGGTTACAATCAGACTAATTTTATTCACACCGACGTTGGCACAAACTCGCGATGACCGCGTACTGCTTCCAACCGAGGTTCTTACCGAACTGCCTCATTCGCTCACTGATGCATCCCATCCATATCGTTTTTTTTTCATTCTCACGGTTCGCTTTCACTCTAAACTGACTAAACGCATTCATTCTACGCGACACTCAAACCAATCGTCTAAACATTCATCGGCTTAGCAAAATGGGTAACTATTAGCGCAAATGTTAATGTCAAGTTTGATTTGACATGGGCCCGCAAGGATTATGTCTTTTATACCTAAGAATACAAGTGCATTTTTCTTTTCTAACTCAAACACACATTCAACTGTCCAATCGCTTGTCACGATTGTACCGAGAAAACTCGAAACTTTCAGCTCGAGGAGCCACCGCGCTGGCGGCCACTGTACGCTTTGACCCACAGCTGTCGAAGAGCTCGGCTCGGCTCGGCTCGGCACGGCAGTGCTGCGCGTCGCGCGATGCAGCCCTCAAAGCGGCCCCGTTCCCGATTCAGCGGAACGGAACCTGGACCGATACAAAAGTAGAAAAGTGTCTGAAGTGGCGGACTAGGAGCCCTCCATCGTTCTGTCATCGGCCGGCACTCCTCGACGAGGCACGCGACAAAGTGCAAAAGGGGAAGACGCGCTTTTCCCAGTTCTCTTCTCGCGCGTTTCTTCCCGGGCCGGCACCGCGTTTCGTTCAACCTTTCATCGCGAGCACCGGCCCCACGTTCCTGTATACGTTTTTTCGCGACCGCGCATTCATCGAGAGCCACGTGCTCATTTACTTTGGAAATGAAGACGTTACTGGGAACAGAGCGGCTAAAGGCAGCGTGGGAGAGCTTTTTTATTTGAGCGCCCTATAAAACGATTTTCTCTCCTCGTCAGCGTACACAGAGAGACCCCCAAGCCAGCCACCGTCTCACCCCCTGCAATCTTTCTTCCACCCTTCCAGCCGCTTCCTCCTTTTTCTTCATCTATGAACGTATCCCGACGGCTTCTACATGGGTCTCCCCTGTTCGGCCGAGCATTGAGCAAATTACTTTCTGAGTGGCTTCCCCGACTCGTTGCTCGCCACTATTCTTCTTCCCTCGTTCCCTCGTTCCCTCTTTCCCCTGTTCCCCTATCCCAAACCCGAAGCTACCCCTTACCGGTGACGCTACCTCCGGGAATCTTCAGATACATATCGACCGTTATTAATCTTGACAATCCGAGGAGGAATCTTCTCAAGTTTTCATCAAGCAGTTATTAAATGGCCGCCCTTAATAACGTCGGATACCGGCCGGTCCGGAATATCGGAAATGTATTTATTTCCATCTCGACACGGCGATGCTATTGACGTCAACGCGGCCACGCACAGTGGGGTCAGAGCTGGCGTAAATTATATATTAGGCTCATATTTTTTTTTTTGGCAAATTAACCTACGACTGAAGTATAGTAATACAAAACGATAATAAAATGTACAAAAAAATAATCAAATTTGTCTTTATTAATATAATTAATTAAATTATAATCACATAATATTAGGTAAACCGAAAAGTAATCAAAATTTTTTTTGTCGGAGTCAATTTTGACTCACACCGATATTAATACTAATGTGTAATATCTAAGTCATTGTGTATTTTGTTTACATAATTACCATGTCAATTTACTAACTATTGCACTCCACATGCATTTCATACATTTTATCTAAACGATTACATACGGTAGTAACAGAAACGTTTTACGTAACATTTTCTTGGATATGTCTCGTTGAGAATTATTAATGTACGTAGCGAACGCAGTATACGCGTGTGCGTGTAAGATTAGCGACAATCAGTCGCCAAGGTGCGTACGTATAAACTTAGCCATAAAAAAATGTATAAATTGAAACGTAAGTTATCCAGGTGCATTCGAAGAAAAGTAACTCTAACATTTATTTAGTACAAGTTTCCACATTGTATTTATAATTTTAACATGCCCCACGTTTTGAAAGATCTACTGCGTATCGCGCGACACGTTAATTACAAACGTTTGGGGAGATCGTTCTAAGTAAGTGACGAGTAGTTGAGTGACTCATACCATTCGGTAGAAGCATATATTATACGCGATATTACGTGCAAGTAAGTTCACGGGAAACTTCACCTTTGCGAGAGACCTAATGCAAGTTTTCGTCTGGTTCCAGTGAAGTTCCTAAATAACATCGGAACTCCTAGTTGGAATACAGTCAGTCATTGCATGCTCCGTGCTCGTAGGAAAGTGGAATTAATGTAAAACGACGAGTTCGGCATGCTAGGTGACTCTTCCGTTCCGGATATGATAACGAAAGAGGACGTAAACCGTTCAAGTAATAGCAAGCTAAAAAAAGAATTTAAAAATATGTTTCGATCTTTAGCAAAGTCTTACTTACAAAGTTAATTACAAAGTTATGACAGTGTGATACTGAAATATTGACATCTAAGGAATAATGAATATTTTATGAATAGAAAGTGATACCATTATGGACTCGTCCCTGAAGAAAACATATACAGTGACTCCCATTAATATTCGGACACGTTTGAAAACGCAATAACATTTTTAAAACTGGAACAAACGATTTGTATTTTTTCTTTTTTTAGATGATAGAGGGACTAGTGTACAAGACAATGATTAAACTACTTTGTCACAATTTTCCTATTACTTGGAATAACAAAACAAAATAAAAGACTCTCGTTTCTCAACATTTTTATCTGAGCCTATAACGAAAATTTAAAAAATGCATTTTATAGATCTCGTAAGTTGTATGCATGCTGAAAGTTTCATCAAAATCGATTAATGAAAAGTCAAGTTGCAAGCGTTAGAAGATTGTAAAAACTGCAAATCTTTTGGGAATCTAAATTTTCCACTCTTGAACTACACATTTCGATATTGAAGCATCCATTCTCGTCGGCGTAAACCTCTGCAAACTAATATACGCATATGGGTGTCTTCTATGTGTGGGTAGTAACAGTGTATTGGAAGACCCATCCTTATGCCAGGTCCGTGTTTTTTTAACCCTGCACGAATCACGTGTACGACAAGCGTCCGGTGAAAACGTGTGTCACCACACGACACGAGAAAACCGTTCGCATGCATTGAATCTGTCGGACGAACGATGGCACATTAATATTTCAGTTGATAAAGGACTGTGTGTCAAGGCATTTGTGGCCTTTCTCGGAACCGCCATATTGATTCGGGGGTACGTCTTCGTTTCGCTCGGAGATAACGTATTCTTTGCGTAAATATAGCCCCAACGCTTGAATCGTTTCCAACTGAATTAACAATGATCGTTTCCTTTGTACAATGCTGAACAATTTTACCCATAGACGACCATTCCTTTAACGACACGTATCGTCGCGCTTGCTTTGGCAAAGTTCAACGCCGTCCTCTTCGCAGAATGCCAATCATTTGCTTTTATAGAACGCCTGAAAAATTTATCGCATTTGAAGCCAGTTTGCACCAATGAAACACTATTAAGTCCACGATACAAGCGAAGAATTATTCTCTCTTGGAAAATGTAACAAGGCTTTTCGGACGTGTTAATTGATTATTAGTTTCCAAGTTAAAAATACTCCCGTCAAATCGAGAGACACATAGGCGTGTATTAAATATATTTATAAAGTAGTTCAAATTTTAAGAAAAGTGCAAATAAATGCTGGAAATGTTTCTTCTTTAATTAATTATTCAATTAATTTACAATTTAAAATGATTACAATAATTGTTGACCTTGAAGATTCTTATCGGAGAGGTTTTGATAATATTTGTAGGTTTACTTGGCAGTTATGTTAAAAGTAGTACTGTTTCAGACGATACAGTAGTACTGTATCCTGCAGTACACGCTGCATGTGGCGCCTCTGTCGAAGAAAAAATGAAGCTCCGTTCCGACATCCATACAGCGCCAATCGATGCAGTGACAAAAGGCTCAAACTATTAGCCAAATTATCGACGATAGATTTTGGCTAGCGATTTCTGCGTTTTTCCCCTAGATGGGACAAACACCGTCTGTCGAGTAAATAAAGTTCTCCTACTATGTTATTAACTCCTACTTTTTTTTTTCAGGCGAAAAAATGAGCGCTTGGTAGGGGGTAACCGGTGCGCGGACAGATGCGGCACGTGAGGGGTTTCTGTTCCTCTCTTCGTTTTGTCTCGTCTTGTTGCCCGCTGTTTCCCTTAACATCACTAATTTACAGTTTATATTTACATTTCGTTACATTTTACACTGTATAATAATTTACGTATGCGGGGCGCTGTTAAAGTTTCAGTGTTCGAAGCACCAGTGAATTTTATTCTGACGTATTTTAAACGATTTTAACGATTTTCTCGTTAGTAGAATTAACATTTTCTACGCAGTTTTTATCTGAAAAAAGTATTCAACTTTAACAATCTTCGGTGATTTTATCCTATAGTAATGGCACACAATGGTACAGTAATTACTCGTCGCAAAAATCAACGAAAATAATATAAGGTTGTAGTGTATGTCAAAGTATTTTTCTTTTAGAAAATAACAAAATCGACGGATCAGCTGAAATTGAAGGAGAAAATGGAAATAATGGAACCGAAGAATCAGAAAAGATTCTCATCATAGATCCAGATAGTGCTGTTTGTCATCATTGCTAATCTTTTTATACTTATTTTCCATATCTGTTAACAACAGTTTATCCTCTATATAAACATACATTTATTTATGTTTTAGGAATTAGATTTTAATCATTCGAGAGTAACCAAATTAGAGAATTTGGAACCATTGTCGAAAATACGTAGATTGTGTTTTACGTGGAATTTAATTAAAAAAATTGAAAATCTGGATACTCTTACAACATTGGTTGAACTAGAATTGAGAGATAACCAGATTGTTGTTATAGAAAACCTAAGTGCTCTTGTAAATCTAGAGTACGTAATTTCTACAATATAATATATTGCTCGAAACAATTAGGGAATACTATATATACCAAAGTTACGACAATGAAATATAAATGTAACATCTTCTACGAATGTAGATTATATGTAATTGTTTCCATTGCCTAAACTTAAGGCAATGGATTTCTTTACGATCTTGGAATAGAATTTGTTTACACGTGTTGTAGAATAGATGGAATTGCTTGCGAGTATGTCGACGAAAGAAATATATCCTCTAACTGTTTCGAGCATCCTAACATTATTTTGTAGAAGATGAAGTAATAAGATAACGGTTAACTAATATCTTAATATTTTCAGGCTTCTAGATCTATCTTTCAATCGTATTAAAAAAATTGAAGGATTAGAAAATTTATTAAACTTACAAAAATTGTACTTGTCGTCGAATAAAATTCAGTGTATTGAAAATTTATCGCATCTAAAAAATTTGAAAACTCTCGAGTTGGGTGACAACAAAATACGAGAAATCAACAATTTTGGAGGTCTTGAAAATTTATTGAGCTTATTCCTTGGTAAAAATAAAATTACAAAGATTGCGAATCTAGAATGTTTAATAAATCTTCATTTATTAAGTCTGCAAAGTAATCGCATCGTACGGATCGAGAACTTGGAAGAGCTGAGAAAACTAGATCAATTATATATATCTGAAAATGGTATAACCGTCATAGAAGGACTGATAAATTGTCAAAAACTAACTACTTTAGACTTAGCGAATAATAAAATAACAAAAATTCAAAATATTGATCATTTAATGGACTTGGAGGAGTTTTGGGTAAAAACAGAATTATATTTCCTATAGATTACCATGTTCTCAATTTTACTCTATATTTATATAATTTACCTTACAGATAAATAATAATGAAATCGATGATTGGGCAACCATAAAAAACTTAACTGCTAATAAAAACTTGCAGACTGTTTACTTAGAACATAATCCTATTGCTGCGGATCTAAATTACAGAACAAAAATAAAATTATTGCTACCGTGGCTCGTTCAACTAGATGCAACACTTTGTAGATGAATACTGAAATCTTATTATGTAGATCATTATTATGTAACAATAATGTACGTTTATGAATGTTGTTATTTATTTCTATCTTGACATACTAATTTCAAAGATTCTTTTTAGCAAACAGAAAACATTGGCAACATATTGTCAACGTTCTTAATTAAAGATGTAATATATTTAACGTTTTTTCAATGAGGAACNCTCTCACTCTCCCGTTTTCACACTCTCGAACACACTTCTCTCTCTCTCTCTCTCTCTCTCTCTCTCTCTCTCTCTCTATTTCTCTTTTACATATAATATTGTATTAATCAAATTGCTGAAATGATTTAATAATAAAGATTAATTATTAAAAATTTTAGCAGCTAAAATACAAACTATTAATGAATTTACATTCATCTTTAGGAGATGCGCTTTACTAGTTTTATCACATACCTATCATATGATTGTTTTCAATTTTAGTGCCACTAATTCTTGATATATGTATTTACTATATGTATGTATCAGTTATTATGTAATATGTTATTAAAAAAATGTCTTCATATAAGTAGTATTAGATGCAGTTCTATTAAATAATATAAAACCAGAAATGTTACTTTTATGTTTATTGTTGTCCTGTAAACAAATTTCAACTGTTCCTACCGTACGTGAAACATTGTTGATTTGTGCAGCTCGTTCCGATAATTAAGACGAAAAAAGCGTCGCAAAGGTATTATAATATTCTTAATTATTCTTGCCCGGGCTGTGCAACGGCAAAGCGTTCATTTCGAACATGTTCAGAAGGGTTTGAAAGAACGTGATAACACGTACCACCTTGATGTTTAATGCGTAATAGGTTTCATAAAATAATCGGCCCTTTTCGGAGCCACTTTATTAAACGAGGAAAGTGCGTCTTTAATTATTACATATTATTAAAGAAATGTTTGGTGATGGCTCCTACATCTAGGAGCTGTGGAGTTTATTTTACATTATACGAGGTCAATGCACCAACTTCGCGTGGCACATAGTTTCGAACAGCAAATGGATTTTTTAAATATACATATTATTATACGCCTTATACGGATGTTTCTCGTCCATGTAGGCACTACAAGCAGCCCGTTGGTTTTGTCTCTCTCTTTCTCTCTCTCTCTCTCTCTCTCTCTCTCTCTCTCTCTCTCGATTATCTTTCATTCTCTTTCTAAAGAGATTGCGCGGTGTTGGATGCGCAATAGTATGGTAGGAATAGAAAAACACTTCCAAGAGACAAGAAAAACGGCTCTAAGAACGGGTGCTGACTTCTGGTATATGCGTAATGTAAAGGAGAATATGAAGTTTTAAAGAAAGTTGATTATTTTCAAAACAATGGCTGGAAAACATGGAAATGATCTGGCATTGTCATTAATGCGTACATTACCAAGACTTTTTCTGGGTAATCTTCGATATAATCCCGGTTCGAAGAAACAAGTATGTTCTATTTTAACAATAGTATGTGTTAATACCATGTACACAACATAAAGTATTATTTAACAGTCAAAGCGTGGTCGTGGGCAACATGGAGGAGATAAACATGGAGCAGGTAACAAAGGTTCTGGTCAGAGGCAAAATTACATGCGTCTTGGATATGAGACTGGAAATACCCCATTTTATCTTAGATTTGGTTATGAACCTTACTACAAGGGGCATCAGTAAGTCATTTATATATGTTTAAATAAAATTTTCTTTAATATTTTGCATAAAATTTCAATTCAATTATTTATGGTAAATTGAAAAGCGTTGACACTCTTTGATTTTAGTTTAAGGAGAGAATATCCACCTTTGTCTTTAAAGGCTTTGCAGTTATGTATCGATGTAAATAGGATAGATACATCTAAACCTATAGATTTAGTATCTTTGATTAACACAGGAATTTATAACATCAAATTAGAACATAAACATGCAGGTGTTCATCTTACAGATGAGGTACTTAATTTTTGCATTATTTTATTATAAAAGTATAGTTAGGTTTTTATATCGAAAAAAAAGTATTTATCTAAAAGTGACTCATCTAAAATTGTTTTTAAGGGAGCTGATGATTTTAAAGCTAAAATAAATATTGAAGTTCAATGGGCTAGCGAGCCTGTAATTGCTGCTATTGAAAGAAATGGTGGTACTATAACTACAGCATATTATGATACCTGTTGTTTATTCGCTTTAAATAATGTAGAGCAATTTTTTAAGAAAGGTGAGTCTATTACTTTATTTATTTCCAAATAAATATTACATATTTGAGAGAGAGATACTCTTATATGTAAAATATTATTAATTTAGGAGAACCGATACCAAGGAGATTATTGCCACCGACAGACTGTTTGGAATACTATTCGAGTGCTGTTACAAGAGGATATTTGGCAAATCCTGAAGAGGTTTCTAAAGAACGGTTGATTTTATCACAAAAATATGGTTATGTACTTCCAAAAATTGAAGATGATCCACAATACGAGATGCTCGTACAGCGCAAAGACCCAAGGCAGTTATTCTATGGTCTTGCACCTGGTTGGGTTGTCAGTCTTAAGGATAAAGCAATTCTTAAACCTACAGCTGAATATCTTAAAGAATTCTATTTAAGTTGAACTGTATTATTTTACAACATTTCATTAAAATATAAATAAATAGTTTGTTTAGCATTTGCTACTGTAACAAGAGTAATGTTAAGAATAGGTTGCAAACCACGAGTTAACTTTCAGAGGTGACAAAAGCTTTGTAAAAGAAGTGTTCCAGACGTGACCCTCTTTGGTCTCGGTTGAAGGCTATAAAACAGGATTTCTAAATTTCATAATTTCGAGGACTCCTAATTAATTTTTCATTGTATCAATTGTGTTATAATCTCAAGTTTAGTTTACAAAGTCGGCAAAAGCTTTATCAATAACAAAGAAGTTATACAACATTTTCATGAAAAGTAAAATATATTACTATATTGTTATACAGGGAGTATAACTCTGTTTGTATTTGGTTCGATGCTTTGATGTTTGTTTATATGACTGTAATGAAAGGTTGATTAGGATAACACGATATAGTTATTATATACCTCATACTCGGGGTCCACATAAAAATTGTCAATCAATTATAGCAAAGAAAATTTCTACAACGACCCTCGCTAACGGATCAAACTACGGCCTGGAAGTATGCAGGAGTAGGACCCATTATTAAAAGTAGACATGACGTAATTAGCCGCTAACCGTGATTTATCACTACGATCACAAAATCACGATCATGGTAGTGATATTTAACATCATTCACGACCAGAGGTCTATCGTTCTTGGAATTTCTACTCAAGGCCAGTGTGACCATTGGTATCTAGTGTGTGTCACTAGATACCACAATGATAGACATAAATAACCAATGTGATGTCAGGGATATTGCTCGGAATTTGCTCCAAGCTGCGGGAAGGAAACCTCATAAATGGAATGGGTCGATTCTAATGGATTGTCAATGGAAATCCATTGGCATCGTGCAATCCCATTTGTGAGCTTTTCCCTTCCACTAATCTCTACAGGCATTCCAACCACCACGGGTGAGAACCGAGAACCCTCTGTGACCATACAATCGATATGTACATCTAGAATTACATAATCAATGACCGCGCACACGTTTACTGAGAGGGATAGCGGGGTCCTTTTCGTTTAATGCGTTGTTGAGTGTAGGTCGGTTGTTGGAATCCGTTGTAATCCGCAACATAAAATATCTTAAAACATTTTTAAGATGACTGAAACTCTTCAGTTAAGGGGTACGCTCCGGGGACATAATGGTTGGGTTACCCAAATTGCAACAAATCCGAAATATCCGGATATGATATTGTCTTCTTCACGTGGTAAGTTCAGTAACATATATTCTTGTTTAATAGTAATTAATTTACCAAGTACATTTGTATTTCGCATGCCGTGCTATTTGTTGTACAGATTTTACAACAAATATTTAATCCCCGTGCAGATTTTTAATCAAAATTGTGATATCCATAAATTAGTTTGCTCACCACATATTATTTGTATATCTATAGATATTTTAATTTAATGAGATTCTTCTAATTTTGTTCATAGATAAAACTTTGATTGTATGGAAGTTAACACGTGATGAAGCCAATTACGGTATTCCACAGAAACGTTTGTATGGTCACTCCCATTTCATTAGTGACGTAGTACTATCATCTGATGGTAATTATGCACTGTCTGGTTCATGGGACAAAACGCTACGCCTTTGGGATTTGGCTGCAGGTCGTACTACACGAAGGTTCGAAGACCATACCAAGGTGTGAGATTTTCCAGTCTACAGTTGTCATTCGTCATGATATGAATGGAAGCTTTTTTTTTTATTTTTTTTTTTTAATGCCACTGGCAGAAGACAATACTACGTGAGTGATGGAAACTATACTGAAGCTTTTTTTTATATATTTTTTTTTATATTTAAAAGTAGAAGAGGTGGGTGATTAAGTCTATGGTATTGTAAGTATCGATCATATCCGATATGTTCACAGGTACATTATTTAAAATTGGCTTAATTTAATCAAGTGATTAAATATGTGTTAACAGGATGTTTTAAGTGTTGCCTTCTCTGTGGACAATCGTCAAATTGTTTCTGGCTCTCGAGACAAGACTATTAAATTATGGAACACATTGGCAGAGTGCAAATACACTATTCAAGACGATGGACACACAGATTGGGTCAGTTGTGTACGGTTTTCTCCAAACCATTCAAATCCCATTATCGTTTCCGCTGGTTGGGATAAACTAGTTAAGGTATGTGTATAATAATACGTATATATATATATATATATATATATATATATATAAACAAATACTTAATAATTATATAATATGATGTATAATTTTTATTGAACATGATATTCATGAGTGTATGCGGATATGGGACTGATTTAATTAGTTTTGAATTATTTTCTAACTAGGGGTAATTTAGGTATTTATGGTTAAAGTATTAAAATGCTTTTTAGGTTTGGAACTTGACAAATTGTAGATTGAAGATCAATCACAGTGGACATACTGGATACCTTAATACGGTTACTGTCTCTCCCGATGGTTCACTTTGTGCTTCTGGAGGAAAGGTATACATTTGAAAAAATATTATATTATTTATAACAATGAAATTTCACATAAATACTTATTGATACAATTTTTCATTTATAATTATAGGATTGCAAAGCTATGTTATGGGACTTAAATGATGGAAAACATTTACACACCTTAGATCATAATGACATCATAACAGCTCTGTGCTTCAGTCCTAATCGTTATTGGCTTTGCGCTGCATTTGGACCATGGATTAAGATATGGGATTTGGAAACTAAGGAAATGGTTGAAGAATTGAAGCCAGAAGTTGTGTCTACGACAACAAAAGCAGAACCACCTCATTGTCTCTCTTTAGCATGGTCTACCGATGGACAAACATTATTTGCCGGATATTCTGACAATACTATACGTGTTTGGCAAGTTTCTGTATCTAGCCGTTAAGGAGTTTATACGAAAATAAAACAATAAAAAAAGGAAAAACATATTAAATCTACACATTTAATATTTTATTTACATCATATTTGTTAACATAATCACTGAACTACATCGTGCTTTTTACTACTCTTTATCCCGTTCGGGCGATTTAATTTTTTGTTCCAATTTTTCAAACTCTTTCTTCGCAATTTGATCGGTTTCATCTTCTACCTGAATTACTCCGAGAACTTCTGGAATGTAGAACTGCATCATATTCTGAACTCCATTTCTTAGAGTGACTACGGAACTTGGACAGTTTGTACAAGACCCTTGCATTTTTAATTTTACTATTCCTTCTTCAAATCCCTATTATTAAAAGCGTCAACGGTATTACAGACTAGAACATTAAGGAAATTTTCACATTAAAACTACAAACCATAAATACAATATCACCGCCATCCTCTTGAACTGTTGGTCGTATACGAGTATCTAACAACTCTTTTATCATCTGTACAATTTCATCATCGTCTTCGGTAATTTCTTCAAATAAAAAAACTATTTAATATACGATCAATCGAATGATTGAATAAACTGCAAGAAATCCTAAAAGTAATTACGAGTATCTGCTGCAGGTTGATCTTCATTTAACACAGGCAAACCGGTTGCAAAGAAATCCATGATAACAGCAAATACTTCTGGTTTCAGTAACTTCCATTCGACATCCTCGTCTATTTTTGTAATTGTAATAAAATCAGGTCCAAAAAATACAGACTTTACACCTTCTACGCGAAATAACATTTTCGCCAATGGTGAACAATATGCATCGGTGATATTAGGAAAATCCTTAGTTTGACCTTGTTCGAGCACTTTAACTCCAGGTAGAAATTTTAAACTATTAGGATTTGGAGTATCTTGTGTTTGTATGAACATATTACATTTCTGCATACTATTGATTTCAAATTGTTTTGTAACGGATAATAAGTATGGTTGTAAAATGCGAGCATTACTGCAAGTATGCATACATAGCACATAATTCTTTAAGATTCTGCAATATGAGAATGTTATTATGTGAAATGACATCCATTCACATTATAAATATTTAAAACTCTACTATGTACTTACTTTTGAGGTTGATATACTATTAAAAATTTGCGGGTTAAACGTCGACTTATTTGTAAAGTATTCGTTAAAACTTTATCCATTATTTCTCATCGAATACGTTACATCAACAATAATCATAACTTGGATTTCCAGGTTATATATTGTGTTCTATATCATTTCTAATATCCCATTTACCAGTTTGATCTTATTTTATAACGTTCAATTGTTTTTTTTTTTTATTAATTTGCGCAGTTCAATGTTATGTATTCATTGAACAGTTCCTAATGGAAGCAACGTTAATAAGTATATGCGGATACATATACCTAAACTTGATACTCTCGAGTGACAATTTGACTAGTAAACTTTATAAGGTTATGTACAATTTACATTTAAAATGTAAGTGGTATATGAAACTACATTCCATTATTTTAGAGAAGTTCATCTTTAATAAGCACTAGTTTTCCTATAATCTTAATTGTAAGTGAACAAGTAACAATTTATTATCAGTAACAATACAGTGTATATTTACTGCAACATAAAGTGTCAGTATGTAACAAAAATTTCATTCATTTGATTTGTTAAGTAGAGTACCTTTCTGCTACGGTAAAATATTATACATTCTACGATTTAAAACACTGAATTCGAATTGGTTTAAAGCTCATACATAACTGCGTTAATGTACACACATTAACTTTTGCGTGTGATGTACTTTGGTTGTATGTTTACTAAAAGCCTTGTAATTGTTTTTTTTCTTTTTGTTTTTTAACAAAACTATAGAATGTTTTTGGAAAGTTGTAACTAAAAGTATTCAAAATATTTAACAGAGAAGAATACAAGTAATAATAATTGTAAGTATGTACAGATTGTTTGACATGAAGCAGCAGATTGAGAGGAATCTTCTTGTTTACCAAGTTGTGATACACATAAATCTTCACAGTCTTCTTCCTTGCATAAATCACAAAGTGTCGCTTTCCGTGGTTCATAAAATACTCTTGCTTTTCTTGCTAAACATAAGAAAATGAAAAATACCTAAGAAACTGAGGTACAATTTTTTCTAGATCTTTCAATAAATAATAATGTTGTTATATACATTATAAATTCAAGACCGTTGACTTATTAAACAACTTACAGGAATCATAATAGTCGTATATAGTAACTGGTACTGGCTTTTGTTTTGCAACTTTGTGTGTTCTGAATGCAGATACTGTTGGACAATATTCACGTCTGTCCATCTGTAATGTATTGTTTACTACAAATATAATTTCAAATTCTATGAAATGTTTGAAATATAATACACTTCTCATACCTTATCAAAATATAGTATTACAACCGTGTCTCCGTCTTTAGTTTCTACTCGTTTTACGTTTTGCGAAACCTCAAGACTAGGTAACGAATCTCTGTCTGCAGTAAAACCAGATGGTAGACTAACTTCCATCACAACCATGTTACTCTCATTGGCTTCTTTTGTTGGCACAAAACTATTTAAATCCACATTATATGTGTTACTGCGATTCCAGGTGATATAAAGTATATTTGTATTATTACATACCCAGAACAAATTGAAAGTTGCAAATGATTTGCATTGGAATTTTTATCAACTTGAGGGTCCAAAGTAAAGAGTGGCCAAGCTCCGGTTACATTTAAATTATACTGAAATGAAATTTGGACCAAAGCAAATCCACTACCAGTGCCTGTTACATTAACTGACCGTGTTTTCCTGGGAAGCTGAAAAGTATGTCATATATATTCGACGTACATTTAAATTGTAACACACACACACACACACACACACACACACACACACACAC